CTTGTAACTCTTTTTGGATGGTTGGTGGAGACTTTAATTGCATTTCTGTACCTTCAGAAAAGTTGGGGGGTGCCCCTCTGACCTCAACAAGATGAACTACTTCAATGATCAAAGCAACCTGGCTGGTCTGTATGACCTTAATTTTTCTGGTCCAAAATTTAACTGGAGGAGGGGTCAACTTTGGGAAAGGTTAGATAGAATTTTTGTGAATTCTATGTGGCTTAGTGAGTTCATTCATACTTTTGTGCAGCATCTCAGCATGACAGGATCGGATCATAGACCATTGCTTCTGAAAATTTATGCATCTAGTGCTAAGCATAAGCCAAGTTTTGGATACCTCAACATGTGGTCTTCCCACAGAGACTTCCTTAATCAGGTCTCATTGGTTTGGAGGGACTGTCACCATTCCAACCCTCTGATTAAGTTATGGCAACTGCAAAAGAAGTTAGGTAGACATTTATATAACTGGAATTAGAAAACAGTGGGAGACATCAATTTGAATGTAGTGGAGGCTGAAAAGAAAGTTGCTAATTTGGAAGTTGAATTAGAGAGTAACCCTGATGTGGAGAAGGATTTATTGATAGCAAATGAAAATTTGATGAATGTCATCTGTATGCAGGAGGAATTCTTTGCCCAAAAGGCTGCTAAGACCAGATTTTGTGAAGGGGATAGAAACTCAAAATATTTTCTTGTCTGTATCAATTTTAGAAGAAAGTGCAATACAATACATAAGATTAAGGAGACTGATGGCCAGTGGCTCCATTTTGAAGACCTAATTACTGCCAATGCTGTTAATTACTACCAAACACTCTTTAACCAAACTTCTGTTTTTAGGCCCCCCATCCAGCAGGATTTATTTTGCAGGGATGAGAACCACATTAGGGGACTGGATCTGGCATCTATTCCTGGGGAAGAGGAAATATGGTCTGCTCTGGCTTCCATTGATAGCTCCAAATTAGCTGGTTCTGATGGATTTTCTGCTGATTTCTATAATAAATTATGGAAGATCATTAAAGATGATATTGTTAAGGTTGTCCAAGGTTTCTTCAGAGGTTTGGATCTTCCAAACTATTTTAAATGCTCCACTATAACTCTAATTCCCAAAACTTCTTCTGCCCTCTCTTAGGATCTTTTCAGGCCTATTAACCTTACAAATGTGCTCTCTAAAATGATTATTAAAGTGATCTCCAACAAACTCCAACCCCTCCTTCCCAAGCTCATTTGTGAGAACCAGTCAGCTTTCATTAAAGGGAGAATCACTGTAGAGAATGTTCTGCTGGCCCAAGAATTGGTGTTGGATCTGGACAAGTAGTGCAGAGGAGGGAACCTAATACTTAAATTGGATATTAGAAAGTCTTATGATACTATCAACTGGGAGTTCATTGAGGAAGTGTTGTATGCTAAGGGATTTAATGAATAATTTATCTTGCTGATACATAGATGGCTAAGAAACAACTCTCAATCAGTGTTTATTAATGGTAAATCTCATGGTTTCTTCACCTCATCTAGAGGAATCAAGCAAGGTGACCCAATATCTCCCACTATCGTCATCATTTCTTTTGATTACTTCTCTAAACTTTTGAATCAACTCATGGTTTCATCCCCTCATACACTCTACAGTCATAGATCTAACATAGTTGTGAATCATTTAGCATTTGCTGATGATGTTATTATTTTTTCCAAAGCAACCAAACCTGCTGTTAAATTGGTTCTTCATTGCCTGGAGAAGTTTCAGGAATGTTCTGGTATGCAATTCCATACTAAGAAATGCCTTTTGGTGTTTAGTAAAAAAGTTAAACCTGAAATTAAGCATTGGATTGCTGACCTTAGTGGCTTCAGGTCTAGCTCTCTGCCTTTAAAGTACCTGGGTACTTTGCTTTTGAAGGGAAAAACAAGACAAGTTCAATTTGATGATTGTATCACCAAAATTCAGGATAAACTAAACTGCTGGGCAAATTCATTTCTTTCCAATGGGGGTAGAGTTACTCTTCTAAAAAGTGTCTTGACAGCCCTTCCATCCTATATCTCCCAGGTTTTTGTAATGAAGATGTCAACACAGTTAACTCTGGAAAGAATGTTTAATAGATTTCTATGGGCAGGTCAGAGGAAACAAATGTATTGGCCAGTTGGCAAAAGCTGTGTGGAAGTACTAATGCTGGTGGGCTGGGTTTCAAAAGTATCAAACAAATCTCTCAAATCAATAATTTCTCTCAAATCAATTTCTGTAAGCTTTGGTTGATGTTCAGAGCTCAGAGTTCTCTTTGGGCTAAATTTTTTAAGGGCAAATACTGTAGAGAAATGCACCCCTCCCTTGTCACTAAAAGACATGGGGATTCCAGAGCCTGGACAAATATGCTGAAAGTAAGGTCACAGACTGAAAACCTATTCATCTAGAAAGTTGGAGAGGGCAAGCTTAATATTTGGTTGGATAATTGGACTGGTGAGGGTTTAATCAACCCTTCATCTAATTCTCATTTTAATCTTGCAACTCAGGTGGCTGAGTTATGGTTCAATTGAGATTGGAATCAGCAAGCCTTACAGAATATACTGGATAACAAAACTTTACAGAAGGTTATGAAAAGCAGCATTGATAGTGAAAGTAAAGATATACTAATTGTGAAAAAGAAGGTGTCCCAGTCTTTATCTACAGCCATAGCTAACTTTTGTTTTCCTCTACAAAGAGTCAGTTGGAGTAAATGTGTGTGGAATAAATTCCTATCCCCTTCCATGTCATTTTTCTCTTGGAGATTACTCCATGGCTTTCTGCCCACAGATGATATACAAAAGTTAAAAGGTTTGAGAGGTCCTTCTAGATGTGGGCTATGTAAATCCCAAGAAATCCCAAGAGGAAACTATTCAGCATTTATTTTTTCAATGTTCCACAGTTAAACAGGTTTGGAACTATTTAATTCAGAAACTGAAGTTAGAAACTATTCAATTGTCCTGGAGGAATTTCTCCCTCAGCTGGAAGGATTGGCTGGACCAAGACTTACCCCCAATTCCTTGCATCACAGCTTGGTTTATATGGATGGCTAAGAACAAGCTAAAATATGAAGATACCTGGGTGGTAGCTGCTACCATTGGTACCAACTGCATCAGCTACCTGCAGAAATTATATTGTTATGGGAAGCTTCCTGATATCCTTCACAGTACATCCCATAGTATTCCTAGAAAAATCAAGTATGCACTCATCCATTGGGTTCCTCCCCCAAAGGGGGGAATTAAAGTTAACAATGATGGTAGCTTTTCTAATCCTTATGCTGGTATTGGAGGGGTGTTCAGAAGTAATAATGGAAAGTGTTTACTCTACTTTCATTCTCTTGTTAGTGCTAAGGATCCTCTGGAGGCTGAAACATTGGTTATTTATTGGGCTATTTTTATGGCACAGAAGTGTGGTTTCACCTCAATAATCTTAGAATCTGACTCCAGAGTCCTAATTGATATCATTGAAGGGAGGTTAACTACTCCATGGTACCTGATGCAGTGGATCAGAAAGATTCACTCCTTTGGAGAGGGTTTGGTTCTTCATACTCCCAGAGAGAAGGTAATAGGCCTGCCAATTGGCTAGCTAAGGTTGGCCTCCATTCTGAGCTCCCTGAGGTAGGCATTTCTACCACCCCCCAATTAGAGTTATTGTTGAAATGAGACCTTGTAGCTCTTCCTTTCATTAGAGTTTTTTCTGTTTAAATATTTGGGAATGGACTCTTGTGCTCCCTTCTCTTGTACTCTTTTTTTTCTATTTAATGAAGTAGGAGCCACTGTCTCCTTTTTTAAAAAAAGAATATACATATATACATATATATATACATAATCATGGGTGGCGGCTGGTTCATCTGTTGCTCTGCTAGGGTTTCGGCAGAATGACTCAAACTGTCGCTGTAGATGGCCAAATCTTCGCTATCCCATTAGTTTCAACTGGTTTTCTCTCCTCTCATCATTGGTTTTTGCAAGTTCTGCTTTTCTCTAATCTTTTACTTCTTCTCGGGCTATGGCTTTTTCAAATTTTACTGTTTCATTGCTTAGCCCCACTGTTTTTGATGTTTTGCTTGGCTGGTTGCTTGGGGTCTTCTACCTACTGTGTGGTTGGTCTTGTTTTTGGATTTCACTCGCAGTTGACAGCTTAGGGTCAACTCTATCTCTGATAAGACTCTTTCAGTGATGTCTGATCCTAATCCAATCGATATTGCCACCAATATTCAGTGGGCCAAGGCTACTTTTGCTGACATTGTTGGGAAAGGTAATGAGAAAGTTCAGAATCCTGATGAATTGATTTTTCCCAAGCATATCATGAGCGTAATGACCCTCTTTTCAAACCTATATGTAAGAAAAATGGGAAATTGGCTATCTAATTTATTGAAGAGGATCTAAATGGTCTTACTGAATGTCATAAATTCACCTTAATTGGTAAATTTCAACTTGGTCATCCTAAGATGGAATCTGTGAGAAGCTACTTTGATGGACTGAAATTCAAAGGGGCCTGGAAAGTAGGCCTACTTGATGGTAGGCATATCCTTATTAATCTCTCAAGGGAGGAAGATTATGCTAGAATTTTTTCTAAACAATCTATCTTGATTGAAGGAATCTCAATGAAACTTGTAAAGTGGACTCCTAATTTTGACCCCAACAAAGAACTTCCCATTGTCCCCAATTGGTTTAAGTTACCTGGACTTAAACTACACTTTATCAACCACAAAGTCCTCTTCAACATTAGCAAAGCTTTGGGAAGACCTTTGAAATTGGATGCCCCCACTTTCACCTTATCAAGACCTTCCGTAGCCAAAATTTTGGTTGAAAAAAATATCACTTTACCAGCTGTGGAGTAAATTTGTTTAGGCTCTGAGCATAGTAGATATTGGCAAAAAATCATAGCTAAAAAAAGACCTTACTACTGCCATCATTGCAATATGTTTGGCCACACTAATGAGAAATGCTTTAGACTTCATCCCAACCTCAGAAGGAAGCTTTCTAGACCTCATTCTGAGGAATTAGAATCACATGACATGGAGTTGCCAACTACTGTTGGTTGTGATGTTAATGCTTTTGAGTTGTCAGGGACAAGGGCCCAAGATGACACTGAACTAGAGTTGGTTGAATTACCCCAAGATATGGCAAAAGAGGATGTGGTACCAAATCCCCAAAATGATCTTGAACCATTGACTGAGCAACTTCACCTCCTGCCACAGTCTACTCAAATTGAACAAACCCAATGCACTGAACATTCTACACTCCCTGCTAATCAAGAGATAACAGCTATTGAGTTATCAGAGGAAGACCCTTTGATTTTGCAATTAGTTAAAAATATTGAAGAAGGTTGGCAAGTTCAGAAAACAAAAATGAAGAAAATGCCTTCGGAGTTAAAGAATCTACTCCCCTCTTCATCTTCTTTGGAGGATGCCCCCCTCTTTCTTCTAATATTGTCAGAACTAGGAGAAGAGGAAAATCCACCTCTATTGGTTAATGAATCTAATATGTTGGAATGTTAGGGGATTAGCACATCTTAAATCCCTTAATAGAATTTTGGCTCTCAATAGAAAGTATAAACCTTAGATCATTGCTTTACTTGAACCAATGATCACTAAACATGTTAACAGAATTGTGAGGAAGTTCCCTGGATTTCAGCTTTTTATTAACCTCTAACAATAAAATATGGCTTCTTTGCAGAAAGGAAATTCATTTCACTGACCTTAAAGAGGGAGACCAATTTATCCATTTGAAGCTTAACTTCAGTTACTATTGTGGCTATGCTACTTTCATATATGTTGGCTGTACAACAACTCCTAGATATGAGCTTTGGCAACAGTTACAAGAGTTCAATACCTCTATAAGGAATTTTTGGTTAGTAGGGGGTGACTTCAACTGCCTCTCTTCACCTAGCAAGAAGAAAAGTGGGAGATCTCCTGATATCAATCTAATGAACACATTCAATGACAACATTCAATCTGCTGGTCTTTTTGATTTGGGATTTATAGTCCCTAAGTTCACTTGGAGAAGGGGGAAGATTTGGGAGAGACTTGATAGAGTTTTGGTGAATGATATTTGGTTTAGAGATTTCCTACATACTTCTGTCCAACACTTGGCTATGAGTGGGTCTGATCATAGACCCTTGCTTATTCAAATATCTTCTTCCTCTTCTAAAACTAAAGCCAAATTCAAATATCTTAATATGTGGTCCATGCATGGGGATTGTCTCAATCAAGTCTCAATGGCTTGGACGTATCTTCATCATCACATCCCTGGTATCAAGCTTTGGCTTTTACATAAAAAAGTTAGTAAACACCTCTCAAAGTGGAATTGGGAGGTGGTGGGGAACATTGATAAAAAAGTGCTTGAAGCTGAATAGAATGTTTTACAATTAGAACAGCTCTTATCCTCTGACATAGGATCTGAAATGAATCTTCAATCTGCTAATGAACATCTGCTGGATAAAATCAACGTGCAAGAAGCTTTCTATGCTAAAAATGCAAACAAAATTAAGTTTTGTGAGGGAGATAGGAACTCTAAATATTATCATGCTTGCATCAACTATAGTAGGAAATGCAACACAATTCACAAAATCCTTTCGCAGGAGGGTCACTGGAGTTCCAATGTTGATGGCATAGTTGATGATGTTGTTTAATATTTTCAAAATATTTTCAGACAAACTCCATCCTCTCAACTAGCCATTAAAGATACATTGTTTGATAAGGAAAGGGAATTTACCAAAAGCCTGTCTCTAACTGATATTCCTGATGAAAAGAAAATTTGGGAAGCTCTAAACTCTATTGACAGCACAAAAGTTGCTGGTCCTGATGGCTTCACTGCAGATTTTTATAAAAAGGTCTGGCTAATTGTGAAGGGTGAGGTCATTGCTACTGTCCAAAGCTTTTTCTGGGGGGCTGATCTCCCTAAATACTTTTCCACATCTACTATTACTTTGGTTCCCAAGGACAAAACTCTTCACAAATGGGAAAATTTCAGACCCATTAGTCTCACTTCTATTATATCTAAGATAATCAGCAAAGTACTGGTTCATAGATTACAACCTCAGAAAATCACCCCAACCCAACCAGCCTTCATCAAGGATAGAAGTATTGTTGATAATGTGTTGTTGGCACAAGAGTTGCTACTGGATTTGGACAGAATCGCTAGAGGAGGCAACTTAATTTTCAAATTTGATATCAAAAAGGCATATGACACTATCAGTTGGAAGTTCATTGAATAAGTTCTTATTGCTAGAGGTTTCTCCCCCTCCTTTATCTCTCTAATCAACAGATGGTTGACCAATAAATTCCATTCTATCTTCATCAATGGATCCTCCCATGGATTTTTCAATGCTTCTAGAGGTATAAAATAAGGTGACCCCCTTTCCCCTACCATTTTTATCTTATTTTTGATTAGTTATCCAGAAGCTTGAATGAGTTGGCATCCAGGAAATCCCATTCCCTTTATAGCCACAGATCTTCCACCTTAACCAATCACTTGGCTTTTGTTGATGACCTCATTATCTTTTTAAAAGCAACCAAAACTGCTTTTAAATTATTCATGCAGAGATTGAAGTTCTTTCAGGATGCCTCCTTTCAGGATGCAGTTCTTTCAGGATGCCTCTGATATGAAGTTAAATAAGCAGAAGTGCATCTCCATTTTAAGCAAACAATGCAAAGTGAATTAAAGACCTGGGTTTCTGATTTCACTGGCTTCTAAAATAGTCACCTTCCTGTGAAATATCTGGGGGTGCTTCTTATCAAAGGAAGAACTAAAAATATTCAATTTGATCATATATTAGAAAAGATTCAAAGCAAATTACAAGCATGGGAGAATTCTTTTTTATCCAATGGGGGTAGGATAACACTCCTGAAAAGTGTTCTATCTGCTATTCCATTCTATCTTCTGCAAATGAACTTCTTGAAAAAGCCTTCTCAAAGATTATTAGAAGGGATTTTCAATAGATTTCTATGGGCTGGTCAAAGGAAGCAAAAACACTGGACAAAAAGGGCTAAGGTGTGTAACCCCTTTGAGGAGGGTGGGTTAGGCTTCAAGTCCTTCCCCCAAATTATGCACACTAATCTCTGCAAACTCTGGTTCAAATTTAGATCTTAGTCCTCCCTTTGGGCTGAATTCCTATGGGGCAAGTATTGCAAGCATCAACACCCCACCAAACTTTCTGTGGGTTTAGGGGATTCCCCCATCTGGAAAAAGATGTTACAGATTAGGGAGGAAGCTGAACAAATGTATGTCTGGGAGATTGGTGAGGGCTTGGTAAACATCTGGTAGGATAATTGGTCTTTGGAAGGTTTCCTTTTACATGATCAAAATTTTTCATCCTCTCCAAAGCTTGTGAAGGACCTTTGGGAACATGATACGTGGAATCTTACTCCAATTCTTTCTTCTGCAGCCCTTCTCAAATCTCCAATATTCTGAAACTTTCTATAAACTCTGGAGTAAAAGACAAAATTGCTATCAAAAAGAACTTAATCTCTTCTCAGCCTCCCTAACTGGTGGTGCATTAGGGCCATACAATCTGGAATAAATTTCTCACTCCCTCCATGTCATTTTTTATATGGAGACTCTTCTTAAAATTGATCCCCACTGATGACATATTGAAATTGAAGGGTCTAAGGGGTCCCTCTAGATGCATTTTCTGCTTGTCCCATGAGGAAACTATTACCCACCTTTTCTTTGCCTGCCCCTAGGTACAGGATGTTTGGCCTTTTGTGAATTGTAAGCTCAATGACCCAACTATGAATCTAACATGGGAGGTATTTTATAATTGCTGGTCTGATTGGAGGGGACTCAATCTTCAAGACATCCCCAACATCGTGGCTTGGTTTGTTTGGATGGCTAGAAACCAGCTAAAGCAAGATAATTCCCATTTAGAACCTATGAAAGTAGGTCTAAATTGTATTTCTTTTATACAAAAATTGATGAAATTTAAAAAGTTTCCAGCTGTGTTGGAGCTGAGCCCATCTCTCAATCCTTTCATTACCAAAGTCTTGAAAATTTGCTGGACTCTCCCAAAGCTTGGTTGGACAAAAGTTAACACTGATGGTAGCTATAAAACTCAGTCTGCTGGAATTGGTGGTGTCTTTAGGAATCATGAGGGGAGATGCATTTTATTTTTTCAATCTCCTGTTAAAGCTTTGGATTCCCTTGAAGTAGAATGTCAAGTTGTCTTTTGGGCCATTAACTTAGCCAGATCTTGTCCTTTCAACCAGCTATAGGTTGAATCTGACTCCTTGCAGCTTATTAATATTATCATTTGTTCTTATGATACCCCATGGAATTTAATCAGCTGGATTTCTGGAATTCATCAATTTCTTAACAGGTACACTATCAAGTTCTCCCACATCCACAGAGAAGGGAATAGACCCTCCAATTGGCTGGCTAGAAGGGGTCTCTCTACTGAAGAACCTTTAGTGAGCAGAAGGATTCCTCCCCCTCTGGATTTCCTTTTATCCAGTGATCTATTACCTCTCCCATATATCAGATAACTCCTTTTGTTGCTTTTGAGAGGTTGCCTTCTATTCTATAGGCCCTCCTTTTTTCTTTTTTTTTACGT